TGCAAGGGGACAGGGGGGGGGGGTGTGGAGGGTGATGTGGGGACAGGGACACATATGTAATATCTTAATCAATAGAAAATATACTAAAAAAAATAAATAAAAAATAAAATAGCACTCCCAGTCAAAAAAAAAAAAAGTGAAGTGCAAACTTTCTATTTTTCCATAATTTACGTCTCATTAAAATGTTACTTTAAAAAAAAAATTAAAAATAAATAAATAAATAAAGTGCTTGGCCTGATACTGATGTAGTATTCAATAGATGAAGCTATTATTCAGATTAGAGGGCAGCCATTTTATGTAATGAAAAGCAGTAAAGCTTTTTTAAGAGTAAAGATTTTAGCTCTGGCTGGTATGGCTCAGGTGGCTGGGAACTGTGCAGTGCACCAAAAGGCTGCCAGTTCAATTGCTGGTCAGGGCACATACACGGACTGTGGGCTTAATCCTCAGCAGGGACGATGACCCATTCTCAAACCGATGTTTCTCTCTCCCTCTCCCTTCCTCTCTAAAAACCAATAAAAATATTTTTTTAAAAAAACAGTCAAGCCTTAACTGGTTTGGCTCAGTGTATAGAGCATCGGCCTGCGGACTCAAGGGTCCCAGGTTGGATTCTGGTCAAAGGCATGTACCTTGGTTGCAGGCACATTCCCAGTAGGGGGTGTGCAGGAGGCAGCTGATCGATGTTTCTCACTATCTATACCTCTCCCTTCCTCTCTGTAAAAAAATCAATAAAATGTATTTTTTTTAAAAAAGAGTCAAGATTTTAACTCTTTGGAGCACATGTACTGCTCAGATGATCTTGTTATGAATAGGCTACTTGAAATTTTGTGTAAAACCTCAGGGCTTCCTAAATTCTTTGAAATCTTGGACTTTGGGTTAAACACATCTAATCTGCAGAGAAGTATTGTTAACTACTAAGAATTATTATTAACCAGACCTTTCATAATTAAATATAAGAAAGGATTGCCCTGGCTGATGTGGCTCAGTTGGTTGGCAATGTCCATGCACCATAAGGATGTACCATAAGGTTCTATCCCTGGTAAGCACACATGCTGGGGTTTAGGGCTTGATCCCTGGTAGGGGACATACAGGAGTCAGCTGATCGATGTTGCTCTCTCTCTCCCTTTTCCTTTCTCTCTCTCTCTAAAAACCAATAAAAATATTTTTTAATAAAGCATTATTTTAAATTAGCTATCATATATTGAAAATTCATTATGTACAAAGATCTATACTAAGTGCATATCTCATCTATGTTTCTCATTTAATACTTCCACTAACCAGAGATATCCTCATTTTAAAATGAGGAAACTAGGGCTTAGAAAGTTTAACTAACTCTCATTGTACTACTAGTAATGGGAAAGTTGGGGTTTGATCTGAAATCCATGTTTTCATTCCATATGGTAATATACTAAATTATGTAAGAAGGACAGCATTAAATGCATCAAAAAAACCGAAAAACTTGGGCAAATATCCCCTCCAAAAATCTTGCAAACTTTATACTTTCTGAACTCACAATCCTATCTAATAAAAGAGAAACATGGTAATTAGCCATACTTCCACTACCCTTCCCATTGGCTAATCAGGGCGATATACAAATTAACTGTCAGCCAAGATGGCGGCTGGCAGCCAGGCAGCTTGAAGCGAAAATGAGGCTTGCTTGCTTCAGTGACGGCGGACTCCAACATTCCCCGCCTGGCGCAGCCGGCCTCTGAGCTTGCAGTTTGAAACATTGTTACAAATATAGAAGCTAAACAAAACCCCAGAACCCTCCTTTCAGCAGCCAAGGCCTAAGAGCTGGAGCCAAGCCTCAGAGCTAAAGCTGGCCCAGAATAAATAACAAAAAGAGAGAAAAAAGGAGCAGTTGGGAGCTTAAGTCACCCGCCAGCCTGAAAACAGCCCTCAACCCCTCACCCAGACTGGCCAGGCACCCCAGTAGGGACCACCACCCTTA